GCCCACTTTTGTCTGAGCTTACTGCCTGAGGTTGTGAATCACAGGCATGTTTCCCTCAAGTACCTGGGATGAAGACCATTGGCTCACCTGGGTCTGGGCTCTCACTGCCTGTGGCTGTGAATCACGTCCATCCACTCCCATCTTTGCCTGAGCTCCTGCAGAGGCTGTGTTAAGTGTTGGGTCAGTGCTAGCACTCCCTGGGAGGATTAGCTCTCAGGTTTTCTCCATCCTGCCCTACTTCCCTTGTCCATGGTGGAAGGGAGAGAGTGTCAGTTACTTTCAGCTGGCAGTGATCCCTGTACAAATTCCTTGTAGACGAATTATTGAGACATCCTGTTTCACAAGTGTTCCCTCTGGTTATATTTGTTGTTATCTTAAGGTAGAGAGTAGATGTATCGATTTCATTTCTCCTAGAGAGGCTGCTAGCTGTGACTGCCATGTCGGGCCTGGCTTTTAGCTCACAATTTGGGTTAAACAGCTCCATCTCCTTCACTGAGTTTGCTGTTCTTCACTGATTTTATCATGTTTTAACTTGGTTTGCTTTTCTTTCTCTCTGTTGTCAAGTAAGTAAGCTTATGTGCTTTTTCCTCTCCCTGTTTCTCTCTTTGTTACCCCTCCCTCCTAAATCCATGTTGGTCCTGGTTCAGGGGTAAGGATTTTGTCCTTATTATGCTTCAGTGACCAATCTTCAAGTCCCTGCAAGTCTCAAGCTGTCCAATATTGAGTTTTAGAGTATGTACTGTCATCCATTGTAATGCCAGATTCTTGGGACCCCAATAGACCTCCAGGAGCTGAATCCAATGCAATCACACAAGAGTCTTTATTGCAAGCTCGAGCCTGGACTCACAACCATTCCCGACACAGCGGCCCCAGGGAGTGAGTCCCGGTCCTTTGTTCAGTGAGATTTTATAGGTTTTGGGGGGGATACTCTATGCAACATAACATCACACAGCAAATCATTCCATACTGCAGGAAAATCAAACAACCACTTTTAACATTGACTAGCACATTCACTGGGAGGAACAAGTTGGGTAAGGGTGATTGGTTAGTACAAGAAGGGGATTCCTTTGAACTGATTGGTTTAAGCCACAAGGGGGTGTACGTGCTAAACTACATGGTTTCTTAGCATGTTATCAACCACCATAAACTACTGGGGGGTCATCTGGCATCCTAGGTACTTTCCCTGTCTCATGTTGATTGAGGTTGCTAGGGGGTGAGTCAGGGACACCTGGCACCCCAGATCTCTCCTGTTATTTGTAGACAAACAACTCAACAGGGTGGGTATGTGTTTAAGAGTGCTCTGAGGGTTTTTCCAAGGATAAGGGTCACGTCCCCTTCCTTAGGACAGGCCTTGAGGTAGAAGCTGCTGTTATTTATTTATTTTTAAAAATGGAGTCACATCAGTTTCTCGCCACCTCTCCAGTCAGCTCTTTTACTGCTTCTTTTCTAGAGGGTTAAAAATGCTGCCTAGGGGCTGGGATTGTGGCTCAGCGGTAGAGAGCTTGCCTAGCGTGGGGGGAGGGGGGGCCCGGATTTGATTCTCAGCAAAACATAAAAATAAAGGCATTGTGTTGTGTCCATCTACACCTAAAAAATAAATATTAAAAAAATGCTGCCTACCTTTGTTCCACCATCTTCTTCCTTCCTTACGCAATTATTTTTTACAGGAAATATAGCGTGCTATAAAACTTATGTTGCACTTGGCTTTTTTTTAAATAACAGATTATCTTAAGTATAAATTCATATTCATTCAGACAGATTTAAATTTGAAACATTGAGCTGTTGACTTTTTCATAAATTTATAGAACTTTATATATTCTGGATATGCGTCTTTTCCTGTGGAAATATCTTCTCTTTATCTGTTAAAGGCATATATTTTCATAGTCTTACAAAGTTTTCTTAAACAGAACTTTCTAATTTTAAAAAAGTCAAATTTAATACTATTGCATTAATAGTTACTGTTTAGCCTAGCCCATATTCTCTAGGTTTTAGCAATTTATTATTTCTCTCTCTTCTTGATTGTTTCTTGCTAGATGTGTATCAATTTTTTAATCATTTGGAAGAATTAAGCTTCATACTTGTTACTTTTCTCCATGTAAGTTTGCTTTCCATTTCAGTGATTTCAAACAACATTATTTTTTCTCTAGTTTTTGGATTTATTTTGTTCATTTTCCCTTTACATGTTTGAGGCATAAGCTTTACTGTACTTCATAATTCCTATTTTACTAATATGTGCATTAAGATCTCTAGCTATTTCCCCTCAGAACAGTGATTTAGCTGTTTCTCACAAACTTTGAAATGTTAGTATTTATTTTTTTCACATTTTCCAATATTTATTGAAATTTCCTCTCTGATCCATATGATACTGAGAACTATGTCTATTGCTTAATTTCCAAACATTTTGTTGATTGTCTAATTATCTGTTATTGTGTTCGAGGTGAGTTCACTACGTTCAGAAAATTTTCTGAATGGTTTTAGTCATCTGAGATTAATTTTCTCTGCTTTACTGCCCACAATATGCTCCCTTTTGAAAAACATCCTATGAATGTTGAAAAGAATGTTTGTGTTGCAATTATGAGATATAATACTAGTGATCAAGTTGATTGCATTATTCAAGTGTTCTGTGTCTTAATTGCATAACCTCCACACTACCCCATCCCGGCACCAGTTTGGCCCATTCATCACTAAAAGAATGATAACATTTCCAAAGTTGTGGGCTTACTATCCCTTTGTCAACATTTCTTTTATATTTTTTCCTACTTGTCATTAGATGAATACATATTTAGAATAGTTATATATTCTTGGAAGTATCTTTTTAATATCATAGAATAGCTCATTCTCTAGCATTTCATCACAATCTACGTTGTTTGCTATTAATATAGATATACTTTATTTCAGTGTTTGCAAGAAATATCTCTTTATCCATTCTTTCTCTTAAACTTTCTGTGTCCTTATATATGGAATATTCCAACAGATAGTGCTGGGATTTTAACAGGGCTTCTTGTTCTTAATAGATCCCAAACAAATATTTTCCCCAGGCACTAAATCTGTTGAAAACTCAACTGAACTTTGGTTCTTTTCAACTATCATTTTTATGTTTGGATCTCTAATTTCCTCAAATAGAAAAATTACCACACAGCAGGCCCACTTCTCTCTCTACTTTTCCCTCTCCTCCTAGTTATTTGTTCTAACAGGCCTCTTTATATTTTTCCAGTGCTTTCAATAAATTTTTAAAGTATTTTATGTAAATTTTCAACTTTTTATCAGGATTATAATAGTCTAAACAAAATCCAGGCTATTATTGCTGAAAGTGTGACTTTGTATTGTGGATTATAAAGGGATAGTCTAATATGTTCCCATTAAGAATAATATTTTGTGTATACTTTGCCTGAATTTCTCCAATTAAGAGGTTTTCCTTCCTTTTAATTATTTGTTTATATACTATTCTCTTTGTTACAGGCTTAGCTTGTTTTTTATCTTTATGAATTGGCTAGTTAAATAGTACACATTTCCCCTAAAAACTACCCACCACTTATAACTAATATATCAAACAAAAATTAAACTATACAGTATTTTTGGGACCACATAATTAATTTTTCTTCTAAATTCCAGTTCACTTTCTCTTTTGATGCAAGGTATTTCAAAAATTTATCATATAATTTTCCTAGTTATATTTTAATTATCTCTTCTAATTTCATTTTACTGTGTGCAAATAAACCTATCTGGTTGATTTCTGTCTTTTAAAATTTATTGGTTTTGGCTTTTTTTATGATCTGGTATTTGATCAGATTTTTTAAATGTTTGTGATTGAAAAGAAGGAAAATTCTATTCTTCAGTTATTAATTTAAGAAGGTAAATTAAACCTATTTTGCTAATCATACAGTTTAATTGGCCAATTAAACTTTCTAATTTTAATTTTTGGTCTCCATGGCAGTATGTACTATGTCAAATTAGTGAAGCTGGAGTTTTATTTTCATGAATTTGTTGCCTTATACGATGTCAGATAGTCTTAGCCAAAGAGGCAGACAGAAATCAAGCAAGAGCCATTTTTTTTCCAGAAGGTCTTTGAGTATCAACATGTTAAAGACACATGGAAAGGTGTCCAGAGGGCTCTAGCCTGTCTCCATTCTCCTTTCCTCTCTATATCCTGCACTTCCTGATCAGCAGTTGGTCCCAGGGCCATGAGTCAAACTTGGCTGCAGATTCAAAGCAGCAGCACCTACACAGAAATATTCCTTCCCATGGACCTCAGGAGCTCTCTTTCCCAGTTCCTCTTCAGCACTAGTTGACCCTGCAAGCTCCAAGTTGTTCTCCCATGACAGTGTTTCAGGAGAGATGAATAATGCCTTGTCAGATTTTTCCTGATCTTTTTTCTAGACCATTATTACTCCCCAGTCTTTTACAATTACAAAAGGTCACTTTTGTTAATAAAAATTCCTTTTCTACCCTACAATATTATTATGGTTTAGATATTAGGTGTCCCCCAAAACTCACGTGTGAGACAATGCCTGAGAGTTTACAGATTTTTAAAAATCTCCTTTCTCAGTGACTCTGCATCTAGAGATCTGGGATAGGGCCTAGGAAGTCTGCATTTCCAACAAGTAGTAAGTAGTTCAGATACTTCCAATGGAAGTCGTTGGGGACTTCTTTCTGGGAAACAAATGAGACTGAAAAAAAAATGGAAAGTATTTCAACACATTATTTTTCCTTGTGGATCTTTCTGTTCATCTTTATCATTTTCCAAAGTAGAAAAACTGAAGAGACAGCGAAATAGGAACTACCACATTCTCCCTTTTTTCTAGACCTTCTAGCTTCTTACTTAAAGGATCTGCTCTCTGTGTGAGTAAAAAATGTATTTCCTGAATGAACCATGATGTATGTGTGCATTTAAATATCTCTAAACAACAACATGAGTCAAAAATCTCTCTTAAAAGCACTCAAACTCAGAAAAACTATATCTGAGTTTTACTTGAAAAATAAATTTAAGATTATGTCAAAAGTTTATTTTAATATCACTTTATTCACTGAGCAAGTTTAAGTCTCTTGAAATTTATGTACATATTACTTAAGAGAAATTTTTTACATACATGTGTATCCTCTTCCTGAAAAAAGAAAGAGAGAAAACAAAAAGGAGCACTTATTTTATGGATTAGTTCCAGGGCATACAACCTCACACAAACAGAGAAATCTAGTCAAACATTTTTGGGGACTGGAAGCATGCATCTCACACAAATTAAGCCACACTACATGTTACTTTTGAACATTCTTATCAATTTTTACATAATGCTGGAATAGTTATACTTAAAAATCATTACACAGAAAATTGAACAGTAAAAAATGTGTCTAGAAAAAGAGCAACACAATAGTCACAGGATTCTTCATGGCATACTTCCAGTCCAACCAATGGTCTTCTGGTAAGGCCATTCCTTTATAATCTTCAATTACATAAGAGCTATTCCCTATTCCTGACACAAAACACAGATGAGACAGGTTCTATTTTCTTTCTTTCTTTTTTTGGTACCGAAGATTGAACCCAGGGGCTCTCAACTACCAAGCCACATCCCCAGACCTTTTTGTTATTTTAAACAGGGTCTTGTAAAATTACTTAGGGCCTCACTAAGTTGCTGAGGCTGGCTTTGGACTTGCCATCCTCATGCCTCAGTCTCCAGAGCTACTGGTATTTCAGGTGTGTGCCACCATGACCAGCCTGAGAGGTTCTTTTAAAACAATAGATTGCCTTTATGAATGGGCAGTATAAATTCCTCACTCTCAAAGGGAGTAAGTTCCCAGAGATCCATAGCTACTCTCATAGGGCCTGGCATTATTTTGGAACCAACTTTTACTTTTGACACATAATAGTTGTCTCCTTGAAGTTTCTCTAGTTTTTCTCCGACTTTTATAAGATGACATGGGAGAGAGGTGCTTCTTTCCACCCACAGTGGCCATGCATCTGCACAGTACCTCTCTCTCCTAAAGGAACACAAGCAGGATCCAAAGGAATAAATACTTCCTTCTTCCTCCTCCATTGCTCTGCTTCTTTTTCCTCATCTTCTCTGGAGAACTTGCTTAATAGTTTGGCTTAAAAGAAGAATGTTAAAGCCAGGAACATCCATGAGATGTAGTAAACTTAAGAGAGCATTTAATTAGGACTCTTCCTTTTTGATAGATTCATCTAAAATAAATATTTTAAAGGATTCTGTTTCTTGTATGCAAATAAAAATTGATGAAGGTAAGAATGACAGAGAACATTTGAAAAGAGTTATGTGTTATTGTTTTCTTTTTTTGGCTGAAACATTTTATTTCACATAAGATCTCAAATGTTCCCTGGAACATTTCTGAAAAGAAAAAGTGACCTCAATTTGATTAAGGGACAAAAACAACTCGAATGCTGATCACCATGAAGTTATACTTGGTGTTCAGGTGCTCTTAATCCAGCCCTCCAATAAAAACCAATGGATTTGGTTAGATGAAACAAATATTTGAATACATTTGGCTTCTGATTTTCATTTGCAAACTATGAGGAAAGTGATACCAATATTTAATTTTAAAATCTCTAAAACAAGAAGAAACTTCTCAGTAAGAAATCACAAGGTGAATACAAAGAATATATCAATATATTTTAAAAGGAAAGTACCATCAATCATAAGAATTAATTATCTTAAAAACAATTTCTTCTTTTGCTGGTTTATTCGTATATTCTCTATTAACCCAACACTTGGGTACATTTGTTTTAAAGCTGTAGTGGACAGGTAACTTTATGAGTTAAATTTGTCTTTATCTTACTATCTCGCTCTTCTAAATACTTCAAGCCATAAAAATAAAATAATAAAATTGTATATCCAAGAAATTAAAGTCCATGCTCTTCCTTATTTTCATCAGCACCCAGGAAGGAAACAATATGAACTTGTGTACAATGTTCACTGTAATAATGCAGTTTGATTTGACAAGGTAATAATATTATTGTGTCTGGGGCTTATTTCATGGTAACCCTGACTGGTTTTCTCAAGCATGAAATATATCTCCTCCACATATATAATCATCTTTCAATTATGAGTTCAAGTTACCCAAAAATGTTCATGAAATATGCCCAGTGGATGACAAATTGGTTCTTCCAATACTGGGGTAATGGCCTTACAGTTTTATAGAATGCATAATCCCCAGTTTTAAATGCTTAATATTAATCAGTAGTTAATATTGTTCATCTGTCATATATTTAATATTAGCAATGCTATAAAATTCATTTACATTAGATTAAGAAATACTACTTTAAAAAATCTTGTGATACAGTTTCTTTGTGTGTGATAAACACTATTCCTTTGGAACTGACCTGTAATTTGAAACTAGAGAATCATATGGTATATAATTAGACTGCATCTCTCTTTCTCTCTAGTTGTAACACACAAATATAATACTTTGTTAAACAGAATAAGAGCTAAAATTGTTGTACATGTACACAGGTCTAAATTTGAGAGGAATAATTTGACAAATATTGTTCACTTGACTATCAAGTCCATCACATTATTTTTACTTTGTTGATTTTTCCCTTGGTGTTAAACTTTTTGGTCATTTCTCTAAGATAAGTTTATATTTGATAAATTGTGTCAAATCAACAGCCAATAATATGATCTCTCATGTGTCAAAGGCATAGGAACAAGGCACTGGGCATTGTGTACAGTGATACACCGATATGAAAATGCTGTAAACTTATTAAGAGTTAAAACTCCTTTAAGCAAATAGACCGCATTTCATAAATAACTTTACTTAGCTTATACAAATAACTTGTGTTCAAAAAGGCTTCATGATGCAAAACAGGCATTCCAGAAGAAAAGTAATTTAAAAAACTTTAACAATTTTCTAGATTGAAGTGAATACATAAATATGCATTCTTTAACTGCTAAGAAAACACAGGTAACTTTCTCCAATACCTTTCACTCACTTGAAGACCTAACAACTTTGTAATGTGGTTTTCCAGATAAGACAATCTACAGTCTAGAAATTATAGTTACCAAAGTATTATCATTAAGTAACTTGTTGTTAGTCTCTGTTGAAACTCAAACATTTAGTCTTTAGAAAAAAAATGAATTCTGCATTTGCCTGGAAGAAGTATCTGGGAGTATGATGGAGTTTAACTTTTATTGGACAATTTCAGGAACAAACTCCTGCTAGTTTTATTATGTCATCTGATTTTGGTGTTTCACTTGCAGATTTTAAAATGGCAGGATTTATGTGACTCAGGAGGTCTCTCTGCTCCCTTTCTTTATGTAACATTTTTCTTGATGGGGAGGAGATATAAGCAACCCAAAAGAAGACCATAAAAATGTGCAGATGCACTGCAAGGAGAAGGGACAGCCCCAGTTCAGTGTTTCATTCTGAACTGCAAAACACCATGATTTCCCATAATCTGATTCTACATGTGCTTTCAACAATCATTTATAGGACCCTAGAAAACAATATCTGGGAAGGGACCAGAGGATTATGTGAACAATATCACAAAGTTGGCCTCTTATGAAAGTATATAAAATTGAGTTAAAAAAAAAAAGGAGTAAAATTGACACATGGCTTTTGGCCTCTGGCCCTAAACCCAGAGAAAAAAATTGGAGTGAGACAGGCAACCAGCTGCTTTTTCATTATGCTGATTAGATTGTTGATTTAGCCAGCTGTACTTTGCTTTCTTCCATCATGACTTGCTTGGAAAATAGATCTGAATTAATTCCCAAGTTCTCTTTTAATTTCTTGAGCTCAAAGTCATGGAGAATCTTGACAGTCATTAACTTTTCTCGTTTGAGTCTCTCCTCAACATCTTTTGGAACATCAGGAATCATCCAGGCCAACAAAAATTTAACCAAGAACACAATGTGCTAGAAAAAATATAAAGGGAAAACAAAGATACTGTTAGAATTGTTAACCATCTGGCGGGAAATCCTTATAAATAATCTCACTCATTCAATGAAATGCATGAAGCTTGAAGTTCTTGGGCTACCAAGAACCCTGTCCTACTATCATCATCCATACACTGGCATTTAACAAGTATATAATTTAAATACATAATTAGAGAAAATTCAATCGAGTTTAATTACTGAATATACATTTTATTTCTATTTCTTCCTGATGAGCTAGTAAAATATTTGTGAAAAAATTAATTTCAAGTATAAAGGAAGCATTTAAACTTGGTGATGTGGTGGTTGAGAGTGGAAACTGAAAAGACACAAACAATTTTGTTTTAGATCTTCAGAAAAGTTCAGGAAAGAAATCATTATATAGGTTGAACTTGAAAACAAGGGTATTAATTAAAGCTGGGAGCACTGATTCAAGCCTGTAATCCCAGCGGATTAGTAGGCTGAGGCAGGAGGATCACCAGTTTAGAACCAACCTCAGCAATTCAGTGAGTTCCTAAATCAAATCAGTGAGAACCTGTCTCTAAATAAAGTATAAAAAGGGCTGGGATTGTGGCTTACTGGTAAAGCACCCTTGGCTTCCATCCTGGTACAAAAAAAAAAAATCAAAAATTTTTGCAAGATGCCAACAGAACATTCAGACCCTCTCTCTCTCTCTCTCTCTCTCTCTCTCTCTCCATACTCCACCCATGTAGCAGCTGAACAGTTCACTTTTACACAAGACAGCTGTGGATTTAGAGACATCGACATAGCCAAGGATGGCATTGTGGTACATACTGAAAACAAAAGTTTATAAAAAGGAAGTGCAGAATAATACACTAAGAGACCCCAGGTTCACTTGCCTTGCTCAGCTCTCAGTACACAGGCAACCATGAAATTCTCCATGAACAAGAAGTTGGAGGATTTTTCCCCATGGGTAAAATAACCCACTGATGAAAGTACAACTGCATTTACCAAAATTTTGTGGTTTTCCAATGAAATTTTTGGTTTACTCCCTTTACACTCTACAGTGAAATCTCTCAAGTGCAATCCAACTGTAGGCTTATAAAGTTTAGAATCACCTTTTAATTGCCTCTTTCTTAAGCATGAGCAAAACTACCAACTAGGTAAGTCTCTAACGTGAAAGAAAAAGAGAAAAAAATACAAACAGGAACTAAAAGCAAAAGGAGCAAAAGAATAGTAGAATAAAAAACAAAGGTATCAATCTATCACATTATAAAAGAGAAAATAAATGGTTATTAGAATTTGAAAATATGAATTATTTACCTGAATAATAAATTAGAAACAGAGAGGTACAACAACAACAGCAAAAAGAAACAATTATTAAGGAAATGATACAAGTAAATGCTCTCAACTTGAGAGGTAAGTATGTTTTCAGATCTAAGTGTCCACAATGACTATGTTGTTAAATAGTGAGGAACTGTTAAAAAAAATTACAGAAGTAGGGGTTACTGAGAAAATTTCTAAAGCTTATTGAGCTTCAAAGGATACATAAACAAAGAGTAGGAAATAAGAATGGCATTTAATTTCAAAACAACCCTGAAAGCTGAAAGATGAAGAAAAGTCTTAAAACATTTCAAGAATACATAAGGAACATAACTTTCAATCTTGAATTCTGTAACAAATAATCATTTGGGAACAAAAAGCCTTTTTGGAATATTCAAGATATCAAAAGTTGACCATCCCAAACTGAGAAAGTTACTGGAAGATGTGCTTCAACAAATTAAACTAGCAAACCAAAAAAGATTCCCAATACCATTTACTGGATAGAAAGGTGATCTTAACTTCTGATGAGAAATGTAGAAATAAAAGAGTAATAAATTAATGAAGAACTAAGTGGGGAGGGAAAAATAGAGTATGAAAGAGGGAAAACAAAATTACAGTAAAATCAATGTGTTCAGAATATAATCCATGAAGCAGATGTGACTATTATTTCTAAAGTCACAATTTATAGAACTTGACTATTGTCACTAATCTACAATTTCTTATTCAAAACTCTTTGCATAGGGATGTTGTTTTGCCAGAGGTATGATATCAGAAAAGTGGGTTTAAGAAGCTAAAATATTTGCCTTTGGAGATTAAGATGAGGATGAGGAGAAATGCATGAGAAGGCTCCTTTATGGCCATGTCAAACTATTTCATTTTTAAACTTCCATGTATAACCTTGATGATAATAAAAACAAATTCAAAAGAACCTGAATGGAATTGAATGTCCATGTGTCAGCATTGTTTATTTTGGGATTTTCTGCAGGGTAAAAAGGTGCCAAACTTTGTTTTCCTTCTCCCTTAATGGCCTTCCTTATGATTTGTAGCAATCAAACTTAGGATTTGTAACACGTCAAATACTCCCTCTGTATTGGTTATCTTTTCATGCATGTCTTGTCTCTGTAAATATATTAGATATTCCACAAAAGAGGATCCATAATATAATGAATGGTGAGAGATATGTGAGACTGGAGAGACTGGCTTGCTGGATATTTAAGATCAAGAATTAAAGATTGAATTTAAAACAAAAGGGCCAAGAAAACCATCATCTGTCTCTTGCCCTCTAAGTCCGCCTAAACCCAGGGAATAAGGGAACTTCTCTAAAGAGCTTTGCAAAGGAAAGCCAATCAGTGCACTTGCAAGAGTGGAGTCATTGGAAAAGTGAGATATCCCTGATGCTTCCAAGCAAATGGAACTAAAGAGCTAAGAAGCTGCTCTTAAGTTCCTGAAGACTGACTCCCATGAGAACTCAGCTGACTCAACAATAGATCTGAATGAAGTCCATTTGACCAGCTTGATCTTAAACACTTAGCCAAAGCAGTTAAAACAAAACCAAAGTAATTCCTGAGCATATAAAAGAAGAAGCAATAGTTAACTTTAACTTAAGATATACACTTGTGTTAGCCCCTAAGAATAAATAAGACTGGAGGCTACAAAAGACAGATTCTTAGGCAGGAATACCTGATAACTATCAAGAAAAACTGCCAGAGTCAGAAGTTCTTAGTCAGTTTAAGGCCTATAGATTTTCCTAACCTCTACATGGGTAGGCTCAGTGTTTGCTAGTATGATTATCTAGCCTGAAGTACCAAAATAAAAAGATCTTTACTAAATAACAGGTCACACCAGTAAAAAGATATTTTACAAAATCAGATGATGTTAAATAGCTTAACTACACCTTATGGAGATGGACATCTGTGACATTAAAAGTGTGTGTGTACATTCCTGATAACTCTGACAATGTTAAAGATTTATATTCCCAAATAAAGGCCTTGCCCTCTCCAGCCTTGTTAAAGGATAAAGGGACAATTTTATTGACTTCTTTCATCTTCATGATATTCACTGACGTGTTCCAGATGCTGCAACATTTATTTTGCTTTAATCTCATTTCAGTACTCATGTCTTCTTGTTTCTCTCTCATAGAAGTACCCATCCCCAGATAACTCTATAACCTGTTCCCAACAGCTTCGAGCTGAGAGGGACTGACCTAATTTCTAAAAAGGAAACTCCAGACTGCTTTCCCCACTCCATGTCACCCCCTCTCAGCTCGAAGCCATAAGAGAAGTTGTCGCCCCTTCTCCTTATAGTTGTAAGGAGTTCTTAAAATTAGAGGGGAGAATGAAGCCAGAATTAAAGACGAAGTCAGTATAGACAGATATATCGGGTTGGATGGACAGAATGGAGGCAAATTTCGGTCTGGGGAGTAATGTCCTCACAGTCCTTCCTCAACCCTTATCAAGATAACCTGCTCCTGCTCCAATCTGTTGCTAAGGTAACCTATACCAGGAATTTTCCCTCCCTATAGGGAATTGTAAAAGTTGTTAATTAATGCACCTGGGCCCTCTTCCTGCCCAGATCACTTCACATAGGCCCCTCCAGCTCATCTGCTTCTCACCTTTTTGCCATTCCACTGGAACATCTCCTAGGCCTAGTCACATATGCAGGAAGAAGAGAGAAATAATGAGGAAGAGAGAGGAGAACAAAGGAAAATATACAGAATTCATAAAAGAGGCAAAACACTCTCACTTCTAGGGATAATAGGACACCAGCTATGGCCCCATTCTCCCTACTGGGAGAAGTCTGTATTACCCCTTTTTAAATAAACCCTGCATCTCTTATTTTTCCAAATGAATTTCATGGTTGCTTTTTCTAGTTCTATAAGGAATGTTAGTGAGATTTTAATAGGAACTGCATTGAATCTGTATAGCACTTTTAGTAGTATGGCCATTTTGACAATGTTAATTCTGCCTATCCAAGAGCATGGGAGATCTTTCCATCTTCTAAGGCCTTCTTCAATTTTCTTTCAATTTCTTTCTTTCTAAGGTCTTCTTCAATTTCTTCTTCAATTTCTTTTAGTGTTCTGTAGTTTTCCTTGTAGAGGTCCTTCACCTCTTTTGTTAAATTGATTCCCAAGTATTATTATCATTTTTTGAGGGTATTCTGAGGGGTAGTTTTCCTAATTTCTATTTCAGAGGATTCATCACTGATGTATAGAAATGCATTTGATTTAGGGGTATTATGCTATTATGTCCTGCTATTTGCTGAATTCATTTATTAATTCTAGAACATTTCTGGTGGAATTTTTTGGATCCCTTAAGTATAGAATCATGTCATCAGCAAATAATGATAGTTTGAGTTCTTCTTTTCCTATTTTCATCCCTTTAATGAGAAGACCCAGAATATCCAAAGCAATCCTTAACAAGAAGAGTGAATTAGGAGGCATCACAATACCAGACCTTAAACTATATTACAAAGCTATAGTGACAAAGTAGCCTGGTATTGGCACCAAAGTAGACATGTAGACCAATGGTACAGAAGAGAAGACACAGAGACAAACCCACATAAATATAGATATTTCATATAGACAAAGGTGCCAAAAACATACACTGGAGAAAAGATGGGCTCTTCAACAAATGGTGCTGGGAAAACTGGAAATCCATATGCAGCAAAATGAAGCTAAACCCCTATCTCTCACCATGTACAAAACTCAACTCACAAGTGGATCAAGTACTTAGGAATTAGACCAGAGACCCTATACCTAATGGAAAAAAAAGCAGGCCCAAATCCTCATCATGTTGGATTAGTCTTCCTTAACAAGACTCCTAAAGCATAAGAAATAAAATCAAGAATCAATAAATGGGACGGATTCAAACTAAAAATCTTCTTGTCAGGAAAAAAAAATCAGTCAATGAGGTAAAGAGAGAGTCTACTTTTTGGAAGCAAATTTTGGCACATGAGATAGAGCACTAATCTCCAGCATATATAAAGAACTAAAAAAACTTAACACCAGAAAAACAAACAACCCAATCAATAAATGGGCAAAGGAGCTGAACGGACACTTCTCAGGAGAAGATAAACAACCAATCAACAAATACATGAAAAAATATTAAACATCTCTAGTAATTAGAGAAATGCAAATCAAAACTACCCTTATTCCAGTCAGTCAGAATGGCAGTTATCAAGAATATAAGCAACAATAAGTGTTGGTGAGGATGTGGGGAAAAAGACACACTCATACATTGCTGATGGGACTGCAAATTGGTGCAACCAATCTGGAACAATATGGAGATTCCTTAGAAAACTTAAAATGGAACCCAGCTATCCTACTCCTTGATCTATACCCAAAGGACCTAAAAAGAGTATAGTACAGTGATGCAGCCACTTAAATATTATAGCAGCACAATTCAAAATAACTAAACTGTGAGAGCAACCTAGATTCCCTTCAATAGATCAATGGATAAAGAAAATGAGGCATATATATGCAATGAAATATTACTCAGCATTAAAATAGAATCAAATTATGGCATTTGCAGGTAAATGCATGGAGTTGGAGAATACCATGCTTAGTGAAGTAAGCTAATCCCCAAAAACCAGGAGTCGAATGTTTTCTCTGATAAAGTGGATGCTAATCCATAAGGGAGGGCATGGGATGAGTGGAGGAACTTTGGATGGAACAAAAGGGATGGGGGTAAAGGGAGCATGGGAATAGGAAAGATGGTGAAATGAGATGGATATCATTACCCTAGGTACATTCATGATTACATGAATAGTGTGACTCTACTTCATGAACAACCAGAAAAGTAAAAACTTCTGCTTCATTTCTGTACAATGAATCAAAGAGCTTTCTGCTGTCATAAGTAACTTATTAGAACTAATAAAATAAAGAATAATCTATTGGAAAATAAAATCAAAGAAAATTGACCTTACAATAGCATCACAACCATGAGAAATATACTAATTCATCAATGGGATACAATAAAGAGCATAGAAATAGGCACAGAAAATAAATAAACAAATAAACCCTGCTTTATATGCTTGCCTTGGCATGCTTCTCTAATGTTATACTTCAGTGTGTGAGGCAGCAGAACTTGTCACCCATAACTGGTGGTATCAGAAGCCTACTTCTAAAATTTACTTGATTTACCTTAAATCAACCACCTATTTTGGGAGGGCATCAATTTATTTGTCAAGGTGAATAAGTACAATTTATGAGATTGTTGTGACTTAAAATTGCCTCTGGAAACAGAATATAATAACTAAAATCTATAAAATCAGTGCACCACTTTCGTTCTCTCATCTCAGGGAAATGTGGTGACATTTTTCGTTACCTTTTCTGTCACCATGGTCTCTTTGACATGAGTAAGTAAATAGCGGGCAACTCATCTGCATTGAAAACATAAACTGCCTCTTATGACAAGAAATATTTCCTTCAAAATAACTTATTGAGATAAAGCTAATGAAATGTTCATCATTACCCTAGGTGTACATTCATGATTACATGATTACATGAATGGTGTGACTCTACTTCATGCACAATCAATCCTTTTAATTGATTCTTTTTAGTTATATAAAATATTAGAATTCATTTTGAATCAATTATAAAAAAAGAGGTAATTCTAACTTTCTGATGAGCAGGTACCTTTCGAAATAGCTACCTAAAGTGAGAGGAAAGAGTAACTGGAAGGAAAGTTAAGAACAGCTTACTTCCATAACTATAATGAAGGTCATCCTAGCAGCAAGGACATGCCAGAATTGCATATTATGAATGTATTTATCCTTATCTTCAGGAGGGTTTCTATAATCTCTGTACCTGAAAAAATAGAAATAAAAGCAAAAAAATTAAGTATAATTTCAACTATAGAGACTTGGCATGAGCTCTTATTACCCTGTTCATTGACCTCAAAAGTCAGGTCATAGGATGATAAAATAAATACTGTATTTTTTGTTAATATAAAACATTTTCTTGTTTATATAAAACCATGGCTGCATGCTATTTATATGCAGAAGATCTCTAAAGGAAACATACAATTGAAACATCTCTCATGTCCTCAAGACAAACTTTCAGTTACCAAACTCTGCTGTCTCCATTTTTCTCTCTTCCTACTCATCACCACGTAGTTCTATCCCTCTCTCCACCAAAACGGCTTGTATTCTCTTACTAAATTAAAAGAACAGTTTAATCTTCATTTTGTTTAACCTTTGAAGAATAGGATTTGAGATTGTTGACCATTTCTGTTTTCTTGAAACTGTTTTCTCTTACATGTACTGACACAGCATAAATCATTGTTTCTTACTAAATTTCTGGACTTTTCTTAATGTTCAACTCTGTGAGCTCATTCTCTTCTACAAAAGTCACTAGATAAGGGATAACATTTCTTCTGATGCTAGAAAGTGATGAAACAAAAATCAGTGCCCATGTTCTTAAACATTATACTATGATTCCTTGATGTCTAAGTATGGAATATTACATGTTTCTGTCTATTTGCCTTGCAACATTCTTCTCATTCTTTGTTGGAATCCCAAAGGAGGCAGTGTTTTAAGGCTTAAATTAGGTTAAGGTATCTTGGTGTGTATGGGTATCTACCTACCCACCTACCTACCTATCCACCTACCTACATACTATCTTTAAATTCAAATAATATAAAGATCCTCACAGTGTTTGACTTACTGAATGTGGAAAAAAATTCATATCCCATTTCACATTCCCTACACAGAAAATCCCTTAAATGGGAAGACTCTCACATTATTATGTTATTTCTTTCTCATTCTACCTTTTTTTCTGAGGACACATAGATAAATTCAAGAAAGTTAAATGCCACATAAATATGATCATGCCGCATGACAGACAGATATTACACATTGAGACTAAGGACATTTGTTGGTGAGCAATAATTTTGAAAATAATACACCAATATTGGGTCTAAGCCACAAAAAAGCTGATTTATAGCGAGGGATTAGTATTCCAAGATTTTATAACTACAAAGTGGCTGAGATGTGACTCAAACCTAAATGCATTTGTCTCCCACCAAGCATGCATGTTCTTTTCGCCCACACTTTGCTCTTCTTACTTTTCTGATTATTTTCTTTTACAGTTCTACTATCCTTAACCAAAATAAGAAACTATCTGATATCAATATGATATTTACCCATAATATATTGTTTTTACACATTCTATTTTCCCAAATTTGAATCAGACAATGTGTGAATTGTAGAATTAGCATGCATTATTTATCAAAGGTTTTTGTTGACTCTAGTAAATCCTATACATTGTAAGACAAGAAAGAAATGGATAATGTAAGACATACAGTTAAAGGGAAAAATTAAAACCTAGACAAAAAGAAACCTGCAAGTGGTGAACTCTCGTTTTTCCGAAGGTGCAGTGTGGTTTGGAAAATCAGCTATCAGGAATACCGACAGACTGTTATTGACATATCCTTTCAAAGGATGCGTGATATTTGTTGAATAGGCGTAGTAGTACACTAAACGGGGGATGATGTCTGATGTAAACGCGACAATAAAAGCCTGAAGGACAAAGCAAGAGAAAGATAGTGAGCTGTCAATCTCATTTTTCAAATGTACTATCTGTATATTTCTCAGTACCCAAGAGACATGGATGCAAAATGATTAAAACATTATTATAAATCATTCTACTCATATGCCAGTCTTTGGTTTAAAACATGAAATAGCTTATTTATAGTGAGAGATTACTATTCCAAGATTTTACAAACTACAAAGCTGCTGAAATGAGAACTGAACCAAATGTATCTGTCTCCACGAAGCATGAACTTCCCCCCATGCCTTGCTCCTTTTTACTTTTCTGATTGTTTCCTTTCACTACTGTCCTTAACCCAAATTCTCATGATTAGACCAGCTCCATAATCTAGCTGTGTTTGTGTGTGTGTGTGTGTGTGTGTGTGTTTACAGGAGGCAGATAAGGAGGAAATGGAAAGATAGAAGACCAGATGCTGATTAACCATACTTAATTGCTCAGTACAATTAATCTCAGCATTCAATTTCATGTGGATGTTAGTGTTCAATTCTTTCATGAAGTGTTGGAATTATACAAATAGCATGTTTTCTTTAGAACAGATGAGTCAATTTAAATCCATCTGGCTATGGCATCTTCATTTTTATCAGATTTTTTTAAAAGCCATGGTTATTATTTTTTGGCTACTAATCTATTTAGGTTCTCTATCACTTGTTGAATAAATCTGACATATTTTTATTTTTTAAGAAACTGTTAGTTTCAAATACATTTTTTTAGAATAAATGGCTACATAGCAGTCTCTCATATTTTTTTTCCAGAATTTTGTTTTTTTATTTCTTTCCAACAAAACAGTTCTTGATTTAATTAGCAATTATGTTACTTTTGTTTGTTTTCTAATTTGGTTATTTACGATTTTTTTTACTTATTCTTTTTTTACATATCTTCTACTGATGTGTTTCATAAATTTCCTTTAGTATCTTAGGTCAAATGCTCAGCTCATGTTTTCCAGTTTTCTTTTTTAAAAAATATAAACATGGGGTTAGGGTTGTGGCTCAGTGGTAGAGCGCTTGCATAGCATATGTGAAGAATTGGGTTTGATTCTCAGCATTGCATATAAATAAATGAATAAAATAAAGGTCCACCAAAATCTAAAAAATATTAAAAAATAAATTTTAAAAAAAACATGTATAGGTATGAAATTTTTCTCTGTCAGTGTGATTTTAATTCATTCCTATATGTTTTCCTTTTAATTTTGTTCTGTCTATAATTTCATCATTATTTCCTATTATACAAAGCTTACTTAGAAGAATAAAAATTAAGTGGTTAGATTTTTTTCTTTGATTATGTTAGTATCACCTTCAGTTTTCAAATATATTATGGGTAAATATGCACTGTACAATTTGTACTGTTGAGAATTTAGTTTTCTTCTTAATTTTTCATAAAAGCTCTCTAACCATAAGCAAATGTGTATTCTTCATATCATTATTTATTTTCTAATCTGTCACACACTATGAAACTGTGTCATGGATTGTCATGACATTTTAAAGAGTAATTGTACTTTTTTCTTGTATTTTTAAGAGTTTACATGACATAATTCCTTTCTTTATGACTTAGTGCATGAATGTTTAGGATATTTTATCTTCTTGGCCTACTCTCACGATGAAATCACCGTAACTAAAGACTGAGTTAAGTACCATTCACATGTCCCCATTCCTATGAAAACAAAATAGGACACAGTCACCCAACCAAAGTAGGTCCACTTACATTAGTTGCAACAGAAACAACGGCCATTCCATAAAGTATGTCTTGCCAAACGCCTATGCTATGAGCTTTGGCAGCTACAGGTCTCCTATACTGAGTAGTAAGTTTCCAGGCATCCACTCGGATCTCTATGATGTTATTCAGAAGGGCAAGAAGAGGGGCCAAAGGAAAAGAGGCCACAAATAGTGTGACAAATCCAAATTGGATAACTGTAGAGATTAAAAAAGAACCATTAACTCATGAAGAAGAAAAGAGAGGAACACATTTTCAAACTCCTGCCTCTTCTTTCATTTGAAGAGATCTATATCAGTAAAACAAACCAGGCCTCTTTCCATCTGCCTATTGCATCCTCCACATAGAAGGCAGAATGACTTATCTGTTAGAACTGGAAAGAACTTAGATGCATACCTCAGATATTTTCTTGCTTTTTTTTGAGATCTGCTTGTTTGAAGAAATAATCTATTCTTTGTCTTTATTTTATTTTGGTATGGGGGACAAACTCAGGGATGCTTTGCCACTATGCCATATCCCCAGATCTTTTAATTAATTAATTTTAATTTTTTTTAAATTTTGAGAAAGGGTCCCACTAAGTTGCTTAGGGCCTCACTAAGTTGCCGAGGTTGGTTTCGAACTTGCAATTCTCCTACCTCTGACTCCCAAGTTGCTGGGATCATAAGCGTGTACCATCGAGACTGGCGTTCTTTGCCTTTTATTTTATGGTAAGTTTAGGTTTATGCTAATCTTCAAATTTGTATTCACATATAAATTTGTGTTGGGATAATTGAGTTTTTTTTTTTTTTTGTCTTGTTATCCTATGTACATTTTGAGATGAATGACATCTGGATGCTTCTAATACCCACACCCACCCACATATACCCCTTATATGTAGGCAAAGAAATAACAAAATTTCTGGAATAAGGTATCTGCTAAAGCCCTGATCTTATGTATTACCTTGGTTATCTTTCTGAGTTTTACTCTCTCCCCTCATTAAGACTTAGCAGGGGAACTATACCTTTGCAAGTGGGCTTCTCTTCTTATTTTTGCTCTTTTGATTCTAGCAATGCTGGAACCCATGCAGCTGACAGCCTGAACTTTTCTTCACATGAATGAAGAAAATATAATGAGAAATACAGAAATGACTTTCCATTTAAAGAAAAAAGAAAGAATCTTCCACCAGTTTTCTATTTTAAAATTAGTCCTGAATGTTTCTGTATTTCATCTTTTTTTCATAATAATGAATCAGGTGTGTTATTAAGTGAATACATATGGACTCTCTCCTCTCCTGCTATCTTTACTGACTTAATAGAAAATTAAGAGAAAACATTTGGTTGAAGCAGCATGAATTTTCCAGGTTCAAATCTCAGATCTTTACCTAGAATATTTGTGATTCACAGAAAATTAATTAGGCTAAGTTTCAGTATTCTCAAAAGTAAAATGTCAAATAATGACTAGTCAGCACAATTATTTTAAGATTAGAGATAATGAATGGAAGTTTCCAGAACTAATTAACTCTCAATGGGTCTCAATAAAGAGTAGGTGATTGAGGTCATCTCCTGCATTGCTCCATGATTTTATGAGCCTTGGAAATCAATGAAAAAAAGTTGTCATCTATAATTCCACCAGAAAAGGATAGTCACTTGGGTGAAATACTCTAAGCAGATTATAGAGCAGTCCCCAGCACTAACTTTCCTAACATATCTCAACATTTCTTTTCTGTCCAACCCTTGAATATTTTATGCATTTATTGTGTTCAGATTGTATCTATCCTGCAAAACCGCTTTTACATTCTTCTCAGTCTGATATTAAGGATATACATTAAATGCATGTTAGACTCTGGAAATGTTTTCCAACTTATTTTCTCTCTGAGCTTTCACTAAGGCAAACAAGGAAAAAATAGCCACTGAAGTAATTTGAGAAGGGTGTTAATCTGTGATTCTGACTTAATTTGTTTCAACAATATTAACATTCAATTGTCAGGAAAAATATCTCTAAGATTCATTTGTTTTGGAAATAAACTTTAATTTATGTTCTGTTTAGTGAGACAGAGAAATGGTGAATTAACTTATCCATTTTTATCCACCCATCTTTTCACCCTCCATCCAATGATACTCAACATCTACTAAGTACAAGACAGAAAAAAAATATTAAGATCTGAAAAACCACTCATTTTATTCAAGCCAACTTTTTCAGAATGGTGGATGGAAATTACCTGTTTCTAAGTATTCATAGAATAACCCCAGTTGTCCAAAAGTTTCAAGGTCATGATCCTGCTCCCAGCGACTGTACAATTTCTCAGAGTTGGTCCGAGCTTTTCGGCGTCTCCACCAATTAAAAACCAAGCTGTTGGAAGTGACAGAAGTAAATACATGAAAGAGAGCTAAAAAGGAAGAGGTCAGAGAGTTAGTGTGCTGAATCTGGAAAATGGCAGTAAGGTTAAATAACTGAAGGCTACAGAACAAGAAGTTTATAACTAAATTTTAAATCAAAATCTATTATTCTTTTCACCACAAATGTGGAGGTCAAGATTTCCTCATTGGAGTGATTAAGAAAACAAGACCACTCTGAAACTGATCATGGAAATATATTTGCTCAGATACAGGTTTGTTGATGAGCATGTGAAGAAGATCGCCACTAGAACCATTTAATAAACTTTATATTATCACAATATTCAGAAGGACATTCAAGGAAATGAAAAATAGAGATTGTTTATGAAGGAAAATATAAAGACTTTTATAGATGCAATAGTACTATAAAACTTTAACCAAATAAATTCCATACTATATAAAAATGTATTGTGATAATGTTCAATGTTTTGGATAACAAATGCTTTTTTTTAAGTAACATATCTATGAAATAGGCCATATTGACAGATTTAAGTACAAAAATATAAAATCATCTCAACTGGTACAAAAATGTATTTGATATAGTTCAAACATCTATTAAAAACTACTTAGAGGTTTTAATAGATGTTTGAAATATATAACAAAAAACTTATCTGATCAAAAGTATCTAACAAAGTCCTGAGGCAAACATCATTCTTAACAGTGAAAAAAATGAGAACTGCTCCCTTTAGAATCAAGAAGAAAATAAGATTATGCAGGATTATATTTAAGATTCTAATGTAGATCTGAGCCAGTAAAATAAGATGTGGGAAAAGTGAAAGAGAAAGCTGTGATTAACAATGACATGACTATCAGCATAGAAAAACGATATGAAGTTAGACAAAAATTATTAAAAGAGGTAATAAGGTTTATCAATATGTTTCATTCCTATATACCCCAAACAGAGGGCAAAATATAAGTTTTAAGAAGATATCATTTACAATAGCAACTAAAATTAAAAGTACCTAGAAATGGATTTGACAAAAGATTTAAAAACCTTTATGCACAAGTTTAAAATCTGCATCTGAATTCATTAAAGTACAAAATAAATCTCTGTGAATAAGAAGACTTGCTTCATAAAATGTCAATTATTTATATTGAAATAATTGAGATGAAATTTCTATAAAACATCCAAAACATGTTCCATGTGAAATCTAACAATATATTTTTTAAGCTTTATAGAGATAGACAAAAAGATCAAGGATAGTTAATACAGTTCTATAGATAAGGACTAATTTGGTAAAACCTTCCCCTTCAGATATCAAGACCAATTATAAACATATATTAATTAAAAGACTATAGTATTAATGCATGAGTAATCAAATTTTGGAACAGAATGGTGACCTAGAAATAGTTTTGCACTTTGTGTATTACAAAAATGGTATTGTAGATTACGGAGTATAGGAAAGAGGAGTCTCTTAGTAAGAAATAATATAACAATTTACATATACATGTATGTAATTTATATATACAAATATATACATAAAAAATTAGATTTTCACCTCATATCAAACATAAAAAATGTTTCCACATATTAAGAATTTGAAAGTAAAAAAACAATAATGTTAAAATATACTTTAAAATTTAGAAGAATTATGTAAGAGCATTTTTTAAATCTTGGGTTAGGGAAGAATTTTTTAAACAAGATGTCAAAAATGTTAACATAGAAATGACTGATAAAGTCTACTATAGGCCTTGAGTATCCCTTATCTGAAATGTGTGGGACCAGAAGTATTTCTGGATTTTGGAATATTTACTTGTACATAGTGAGGTGTCTTGGGGATTGGATCCAAGTGAAAACATGAAATTCAAATATGTTTGATATATACATAAAATACATAGCCTGATGGTGATTTTATGTACTCTCTTAAGTAATTTTTGCATGACATAAATCAGAAGATCATAGATCAGAAGAATACTTTATCACTACAAATCTAAAAAACCTTACGTGTCTTTTCTAAATTTCTACAAACAGCCTGCTGAATGTTCTTCAATTTTTAGTTAATTATGATAGAATTTTGCTTGTTTCCTGATCTGCATGCCACAAAGTAGCCTGTATCCACTGTGATGTTGAAGGTTAATTTCTTTCAATACACAATACAGATCTTAAATGTTAGCTTTTTGCAGATTTTTTCTTCTTTTCATTAATTCTCTAAATCCCCTTCAGCAACCTATTGAATGTCTGTCTGTCTGTATCTCTGTTTATCCAGGTCATATGGTGGTCATTCCAGCACCATACTTGTCTGTAAAGATATTCTGCACTTACACTGCTGACCATTTTCTCCAACAGCTTAACTTTCTGTGCCATAGATAAATTTAAGTGCTTTCTTTTTTTCTTAACACTATTACCAATGGTAGAACCTGCAATCCTCTGAAATTTCCAAGAGTATCTTCACACCACAGGACAAAGAATAAGCAAAAAATGTGGTGTGAATAATGCATATACACTTTGGCCCCAAGTAAAGTATCATGGAGAAACTGTTGTTGGGGCATCTGATCTGTGCTTTTATTAGCATTTGTGAGTGTGCTTGTGTAGGGAAATCTGGGAATGTGTGGAAAAGATATGTTGCAGCTGAAAGGGGCTGGGTGGTATTTTTTCTGGGGGACACTAAATAGATCAGGTATTCGAGTCAGCATTTTGATTGAGACTCTCACATAAGGTCAAGTGTGGGATTTTCCACTTATGGCATTGCATAAGAGTTCAGAAAGCTTCAGGGTTTGAAGCGTTTCAGATTTTGAATTTGGGATCAAGGGTACTTGACCCGTAATAAAATTATGTGCTTTCATCCAGATAAAGCATTGACCCCCAGTCAACAGTGATTTTTTTCTGACAAGAGCACCTTTTCAATGTCTAAAGACATTTTGTCTGTCATAACTATAGAGTGGGTGGCCTGAAGGCATCTAGAAGGTGCAGACCAAGGATATTTCTAAAACTCTATGATGCAAGCCCAGCACAAGGCTGCAATCCTGTAATCCCAGTGATTCGAGGGGCTAAAACAAGAGGATTGCAAGATTGAGGCCAGACTCAGCAACTTAGTGATACTCTCAGTACTTTAGTAAAAACTTATCTCATAAAAAAAAAAAAAGGACTGGGGATGTGGTTTAGCAGTAAAGCAACCTGGATTCAATCTATGAGAACAGCAACAACAACAACAAAAATCTACCATGCAAAGGATATCCTGCTAAAATAAAGGATTATCTGGCCCTAACTGAAAATAGTGCTGAAACTGAGAAAGTATGAATACTATTAAAAAATAAAAAGATAAAATTTTTGTTAGGATAAAATATTTTCAACACATTTAACCAAGAAAGAATGAAATAAACAATGGCAACTAAATATTTAAAAATTCAGAAACCAGAATTTCTGAAGTATTCCTACAGATCAGTTAGGGGAAAAAAGTAGGAAAATAGTTAAAACAACATAAATAAGTATTTCATTGAAAAGGAAACACACATGGGCAAGAATTTCTTTCATATTATTAATTGGGGAAAAAGCAAAATAAAACCAGAATGAGATATCATTTATACTTCCCCATGTTGACAAAAATAAATAAGACATTATGAAGTATTGTAGCAATTGTGGATTAAAATGAACATTTATATATTGCTTATATACAAACTGAAAAACAAAGAGACAAAGGAACGATGAGAGGGAACAGAAAAGTTGAGATTTTTTGAGACAATGCTAAACAAATGCACACTGAAAAGGTGACTATCAGGTTTAATAAAGAAGCTTGTGAGAAATTCCAGAAACTCTCCCCTGTCCTTGACTCCATTCAAACTCCTCAATCCCCACAGCAGCAATGATTATCTTAAATTCTGTAGTAATCACTTCCCTTGCTTTCTCAAAACGTTTTATCATCTATGATATATTGCATGTTGATCTTTAAGTGCAAGTTAAAGTTAATATGGAATTTGATATTTTGCATATAGATGCTTAATTATTTCAACATAGCTGAAAAACTTTCTTTACTCAATTTTTGCAACTCTTCAAAAATAAAATGACTGTATTTGTGTAGATCAAAAATTTCTGCACACTCTACAATCTCTATTCTTGTGATTCATGCTCTGTTCCATTGATTCATTCCTTCACCAATTTCACACTGCTTTGATTAATGAAATTTTATAGCAAATTTTTAAAAAGTGAGTAGAATAATTCCCCCAACTTTATTCTTCTATATTATATTTTTGAGCTACTCTAATTTCTTGGTCTTCTATAAAAACTTTAGAATGTGCTTGTCTATACTTACAAAACCCCTGTTGATATTTTGATTAAAATAAAATAAATGTATATAGCAATTTGGAAGTACTGACATTTTTACCATGTTATGTCTTTGAATCCATAAACAGGCTATTTCTCTGCTTTTACATATTTTTTCTTTCTTTCATGAGGATTATGTATTTTTCAGCATACAAATCTTGTATGACTTCTAGATTCAAAGAAAATATTGCAGTTTTTGGAACAACAATTTCTGTGCTAACCAATGTTTCTTGCATCCCAAATTTTTCTGTGTTTTTTTTTTTCTGTTCATCTATATGTTTCAATAGTTCTTTCCATGAAGGTCGATGAATGCTAAACTCTCCTAGTATTTTAATATGTCTAAAAATGGCATCATTTCACCTGCATTTTAAAGAATAGCAAACCTTGTTCCAGAAAACTACAATGAACATTATTTTCACTTGTAAACTTAAAAATATTGTCTTTTACATCTAATGCTATCAAGAAGAAATCTGTTGATAGTGTAATGACACTTTTTTGAAAGTATTTTATCTTTGAATAGATTTCAAGACTATCTTTAAATATTCTAATCTATTCTATAATAAATCTGGATGAGAATTTAATTCTAGTGACCTTGCATAATTTTCAGAATGCATTTCTAAAATTCATGTTTTTTTCATATTTGAATTATGTTCAGCTATTACACTTATTCCACCTATTCAAAGAGTTTTTCCCTGTACCACTTACCTAAATTATCTTTTACTGGAACTACTGGTAGATTAAGATGAAAGAGTCTTTATCCTACAGATAATACTTTTAGATATTTGGCGTGCCAGGGATCAGACCCAGAGCCTTATGCATGCTAGGTAAGCATTCTACTGTTGAGCTATACACTTAGTCCTGTAATTTTTTGAAAACCTCATCCTGCACTGTACAATGTCAGAATTTCTCTGTAAAATTCAGTAATTTATTCTTAAATCATGTTCAGTCTGGAATTATACTCTGGAATTGTCACATCTATTGTATTTGTTATTTAAAGTATCCCACTTATATGTAATTGACTCCCTTTCACATTTCGTTTTTCTTATTTCAGTTTTTATTCAATTACTTCCTGATTCTTTTTAATGACAGTGTCACTTCCCTTTATGTTTTTAATATAATCAATGTAACTTTTATGGGCATTGCTGGGAGTTTCTAACTCAAACCATCAGCTAAACTAAGCTCATTTGCTAAAAAATTATTTTCTTTACAATATTTGTAGCATTAAATCTCATACAATAGTTTGGTATTTAAAAAAATTCTTGTTTTTATTCCCTCATCTCTCTCTATCCTCCTCTGTGCATATTTATAATCCCTCTTGTATTTGGTTCAGAAGCTAACTCTGTTCTGTCCTCTGGATTCTCAATCTAGAGCTATGATGCAAATAACAGGTTTGAGTTATTTTCTATAGGAATGTGGTGCTACAAATTATGAATCCAGAAGAGGGCTTGGCTGAAACCTATTACTGTTTAAAATTATGATTATATTTATCCTTCATCAGCTCATGAAATAGAATCCTACTTGGCTCTATGACTGTGGGTATCTTGGAGTAGAGGTAGATGAAGACAGTATTTTCAACCTTCCTTCAAAAATAAGAGAAAAAACTCAGTCCCTGGCTTTGAGTTCAGTTAATCTGACTAGTCCTCTGTTTATGAATGAGGCACTTTTATTCTACTTTATCCTGTAGGTGCTAAACTCTGACATTGTCATTTCCAAAGTAAGAACTCTGCAATGTAAGAAACATGATTTTATGATTCTTTATTTTTTTAATCCAAGAGAATAGTCACCTAATAATTGAAAACAACTGCTATTTGTTTTTCTCTTTTGATGATATATTCATTATTGCTCTTTTTGGATAAAAGAAGAATCCTTTCACATATTGACCTGAAAGTTTTCTAGCATTTTATTCACAACCAATTTTTATGCCTAGATTGCATTAAACATGAATATATTTAACATGAAATAATAAGTAACATGTAGAATAATTTATAAATGATTAATATTTAGATTTACCCGTGAAATATTAGGGGGAGATGATGATAATTACTTTTCCCTCAACTTCACTCATGCAAAAGAAATGCAAATTTAAAAGCCTGTGCTGTGTGTAAAACATCACACTGTAGTCCATTAGTATGTAAAATTATTATTTGTCAATTGAAAAACAATTAAATTAAAAGCAGTTTTTAATTTAATTTTTTTCAATTGACAAATAATAATTTTACATACTATTGGAATAAATTTATTTCTTTAAATAATTAAATAAATAAAAAAGGTTTTTATTTATTTTATTGCTTTAAAGTATCCTTTAGAATTGATTTTAAATGAAGGGTTTTTTTTTTTGGATTAAATATTTTGTAACAAAGGCACCATGATAATAAAAAATTTCCATTTTCTTCATGAGAAAATTTTTCATGGTTAATTAAATCGCACAAAAACTTGTCAGTCATACATACGGATAAATGGCTTCTTTAATGTTTCCAAAGATCTGTTTCCCCGTCATTACAATGGTCATCTGTGTTGTCAATTCTATTAGACAGCCTCCAGGATCACACTAGTTGGAAACAAGTGGAGAGAAATAAAAAATGAATGACAAAAAACAGAATTTTGTAAGAACTTAAAGAAACCCCAACCAGAAGATTAGAAACTCAAATGTTTGGTATGAAGGTCTATGAAGAAGGTAAAAGAAATATTAGTCCAATAATTTCAAGCACGGTTACAGATCAGTGCCAGGCTAACTGTATTACATTAATCTGTGAACTCTGTTAAAAACACAAATTTCTTTACCTAGTCCTAGAAAATTCTGAATCTTTATGCTTGGGTTAGGGTCAACCATTGTATTTTCCATGTGATTTGTATGTTCATCCAGGTTCAGAAACCACTGCTCTTGTCTAACTCTGTAGCCCACAGTAGAGCACTTTCTCCAAAAAGTAATAATTGGTCTCTTCTATGAAGCCTCAGGAATCAAGATCTTATTAAATTTTTATTTTATATTTTATTATCAAGCCATAAGATCTGTATAAATTCTTGTCCCAAGAGACCTGAAAAGTCTAGAAAATGGCAGGATTCATATGTGTAGAGTTGGTTGTCAGACTTTTTTTGCAATTTGATAACATCTGAGTTAGTGCTAAACACAAGGAAAATTCTTAGTTAATGCTGAGGTAAGCCAGAGACTTCAACTTTAAAAAGAACTCTTACCTCTTCACTTCTCCACACGTTAAACAAATATGTGTATTTTCCAGGATAGCCCACAAACTTTCCTTTAAAGAAAGCTACATAGAAGCAGGATGAGTAATAATTTACAAACTGAAACAGGAACATTTTCAAAGTAAGACTGCTCTCATACTCCTGGTAAGTTCGAGGAATTTCTGGCAAGTAAAAAGAAACAGAAAAGTAAAGAAAAAGAAATAAAGAAAAGTCAAGATTTAATACAATTTCCTAATTGTCCTTAAAATATATACTCACTGGAATAAGTGAATGCCTAGTCATATTATTTTGAGAGCCAAATAAAATGCTCCCCACTCTGATCATGGCAGAACGATATTAGTAAAGATGATTTGTCTAGGCTTTCTGTTGAACCCTTTCTGTTAATATAATCACTGTGAAAGCCCAGAAAGCTCCATTTTTCACATTTCAAGGGTGAATACTTGTTGGGGGGGGTCACATAGTCAGAATATGGAATTCAAATCCCTTTAAGATTGAAGAACCATGGGGTCATTACCAGACCTGTATTCCTATAAACCTGCCAGAATTCTCTCCCTTTTCTATTTTCAATTAGAAAAGTTTAAACAAAGTGATTCTACATCAAGGGCAGAGATTTCAACTGACCTATGTTTCTTCTCAAGAATTAAAATGATGTATCAATTTTGAAAACAATGTGATGGCAATTAATAACATAAATGGTACACATTTTTCCTCTCCTTTACTTAAAATGTATGATCATGGTTTGACATTCAACATATTCCAAAGTAAGAAGATATTAAATTCTCTTCATACTACCTGGAGTACCAGGAAGCATGTGATTTTGAGCTAATAATCTCCCAATAGCACAGCTGACCCAGCCAAATCCATGACACTTTTAGGAATACTACAATAGTAACAAGTTATTCTAATGACACTGATAACTCCTCCATGTTAGCAAAATTTGGTTGACTTCCAAAAAATCTCTAATATGAATTCATTGATTTTTCTCAATGTAAAAAAGCCGTGACTTGATAGGTGCTTTTAAAAGCAGTTTATCTGCTATGGTTTTCTTGGTGTTGCTAGCAGAGAAAAGAAGTAAAATTGAAAGAGAATTCCAAATCTGAAGATTTGTGTAAGTAAAGCTACCTGGCACTGTGCCGCAGTCCGGCTGCAGCAAAATAACCGGGGAGTGACGAGCAACTTGTGTAGATTGATACAGCAGGAGTAGGAGCCGTTTATTGTAGGGCAGGAGTGGTATATATACATTCCACATAGCTTATCTTAATTAGCATAAACTAGATACATCAGTCAACCAATAAGGAAACTCCACACTTAATGGCTCGCTGGCGTTACTTCACAAACCACTCCCTCTGGCATTTTGCCAGGCGCCATCCAGACTTGTTTACAAACGCTAACATTTCTCTGGCAAAATGCCAGGCGCCATCCTGACTTGTTTACAGACTCTAACATTGCATTGCTCATATCAGTGCTGGGTGAAGATTTTGTGGTCTTCTTGTCTGCATGGGACATGGTGCCAGTGCATAGACAGGGTAAGGGGAGCATGATGAGATCCTGAGGTGAGGACTAACCAGAGAAGATACACCTTGGGCTGTGTCTCAGATCTATCGCTAACTTGTTATGACAACTGCACTCTGTACTACCATCCTTGATTGAATCCTTTGCTTTACCCGTGACCCACTTCACCTTCTCTCATGGTTTAGAAATTTAAAACACAAGCAAGAAAACAATTCAGATTCTAAGAGATGGCAACTGAAGAGAAAAGTGCTAAATTTGAGATTTATTTTGGAGGAAATAATATTCTTTATCTCATGATATTTTCCCAAACCGAATATTTTCAAACAACCATACGCATGAAGTCAAATTTTCTTATATTGAGTGCATTCAGGATTTTAGTCAGGATTCAATTAGATCCATCAAGGGAGGATTAAAACAAGAATACTAAAAATTATCTAGAGTCTTAATTTTCTTCTTCGTCTTCTGTTCATCCTGCTTCCATTAAGATAGGCCTGAATGTAGCTATTAGCAGATTCTGAACTACCAGGAGTGGATCTACTTAGAGATCAGAACTGCCTTAGAATGGTACTTGAGGAAATGAACTCCCTCAGAGATGATCCAAAATGGATGTGTAGCATTGGTAGGGACCTATTTTCAATCACAGTGATGATCTGGCTAGCTTACCCATTTTTGTAATCCAGGCAGATATCTTTTCATAAAAGAAATTCAAGATCAAGATGACAATAAAGTTCAAGCATGATCCTGAGAGTGATGTGGCTAACTGAGGAGTAAAGTAAACTTTAACATGCTGTAAGGTTGCCTCACTTTCCATGAAGCTAGCAAATGTAGCGAAGACGGACAGGCGGTACACAATCACCGCTACCATGCTGCTGACAACAAGAGCCATCTGGGGAAGGGAAGCAAAGCAAAGAATTAGTCATGCAGGTCTCTATCTGCAATACATACATTATCTCTTATGTCATTATATTCAGTTTAGCAATTGTCATATGAAAACCAAACCAAACCAGTCTCTCTTATGGATAGCAGGACACACACAGTTGCAAGGTAGAGTTAAAGGAAAATCACTGAATAGCAGCTGGTTAAGGACAAAAATAGGAAAAAAAATGTATTCACTGTCAGGCTTTTTCTCCTGACAGCATTTAGGAAACAACAACCAGAAGACCAAATCTGTTTTTTTATGGCCCTTCAGTTAATATTCCCCACTCTCCAACAAATGTAAACGTTATAAGAAAAAATGAAGACAAATTTGTGCCCGAGATTATATGTGGCCATAAAGCCTAAAAGTATGTGTATCTCCTTTAGAGAAAAAAATTTGCTGATTCATGTTCTAAGTTGTAGTTACACAGATTCCTCATAAATTTTGTACACGTCCTATATTGTAAAAAAGATAGTCTTAATATCAATGGGTAGAGAACTTTTATTCTAAGCACTGAAGAAGAAACTCAAATTGAATGAGAACTAGTAAGCAGGATAGAATAATCTTTCTGGGACCATATTCCAAAATGTTTCTCAAAGAGTGTCCTGAATTGCCTCCTCTTCATTTACCACATTTCTACCATGGTTGTTGGAAGTCTAAGAAAAAAACATTTCTGCTAACTCTTTTAAGATAAACAAAATTAGAACTTAAAAAAGAACTGTTAAAGTTATAAAATACAGTATATATGCATTGTTGACTACAGTCAACAACTGTTAATTTACTTATACTTCAATATAATAACCCCTCAGAAGGTAACGTCACCTCTTTTCCCAAATTAAAAAGGCCAACTGTTAAGAAGGCACAAATGTGGAAAGGTGAGGTAAGGAAATAGATTATGGTGATGGAGAAATCTGTCAGCTAAAAAATATGGGGAACAATTGACTTCCATACAATGGGATATACTACTTATATTCTTTGAGTATAAAAATACTTATTTTTTTCAGCAAGAGAAATATATGAGTTCCTTATTCATTTTATGTAGATATTTTAAATGTAGATAAAGATACATTAATGATTTTTCTAAAACTAACCAGAGTCTATAATCAAAATATCTTTTGTTATTCTGGTCTGATTTCAAGTTATCACTTAATTATTGAATTATGAGATAGAGAAGGTCAAACTGTAAGATAAAATATCTCTTTATTCTCTTAGATCTTTCCACAAAGTCCAATTTTGAAAAATTTATGTCAATTACAATTTATTTTACATAAGAGATATAAACAAGATAAAAAGACCAGGAACAGGAAGAGCATGAGGGACTCCAGAGCCACCTCAGATGAAAATGTTGGGATAATCCTGAGGATACCTGTTAAAGAGAGGATAATGGTTGTTAAGGAAATGCTTACCCAGAATGTCACTGTGGCTCCTGATAAAAAGTACCATGGAATACGATTCCACAGAGGCATGTAAGGTTCCAATTCCTGCAATGTTGAAAAAAATACACTGAAAATTTCAAAATCTGCCCTTGAAGTTGGTACTTCAAGCAGCATTGAAAATCACAGAGCATGATTAAAGTAGAACCCCACAAAAGGGCCCACAGTAAGGGACAAAATGGACACATATTAGCTGAGTGAGAGTCCTATTCAGGGCCTGATAGACAGGAAACAAGTCAAAACCTCAAGGGTGCTCTTAAGTAGACAAGATTTAATAAATTTATACTTTTATTCCCATTGAATTGAAATGAATGGCATTGCTCTATAATTGCTCTAGATGATATTAAATTTGGTGTGTTAATCATAGTGTAACTGTGTTGTTTCACATAGTTTAGCAGATCAGATTTTCTACCTAGAAGTTTTAAAGTCACGGATAAAGATTAATTACATAGGCTAACATTTTTGCTATATTAAAAGGTAGGCATACTTTACTAAATACATCTGCCATGTAGTAAAAAATAGTTGTCAGGGGCTGGGATTGTGGCTCAGTGTAAAGTGCTTGCCTCATATGGGTGAGACACTGGGTTCGATCCCCAGCACCATACAAAAATAAATAAATGAATAAAAATAGTTGTCAAGAAAAATGGAAGATTTCACATTTTATGGATTTTCAGGATGGAATGAAGGCAAACAATTCTCAATGGCCTGTGCAGACCATCCAAGGACACTACAGAAGTTTAGAATGTGTGTCCCTGTGTGCATGTGTGATTTTTTTGTGTTAATGTGTGTACATCCAGTGTGTGCACTCTAATGTGTGCATATTTGTAAGTGCACCTGTGTGTGCCCATGCAATTGTGTTGTTGTCAATGCAGAATTAAATGTGAGAATTTTGTTTGTGTGTAAACACCAAAAAATGTTCCACAAGTAAGAGAAAAAAAAATCTGCCTCTTGATTTCAAAACCAAGTGAATGATTCACTGTGAATCAACACATATTGCTTTTCAACCAGTTCCAACAGTAAACATTCATTTCATGTTTTGTTGGTGATGGTATTAATTGTGGGAAAACTAAAAGGGTTGACTTTTTAAAAAAATAATATGAAATAGGAATGAATAAACATTATATCTCTATCTTAATTTCAAACTACTACCCAACTTGTTCATGCATTTTCTGAGATGCATTTTATCCTTTATTCATTTACTAAACTTTTGTGACTTTTCAATGAAATATTATGTTTGGTGAATACTTGTATAGTGAAAAGAATTTTCAGTGTTATACTGAAAGAATAGCATCCTGAAAACGTGAGAGAATTGTGTGGAATAGGTTGTGTTTGAGACATATTCAATATTCTCTTTCAAACAGCAGATTATGGACAAATATATGACCAAAATTCTGGTCTGTGAATGCAAATCATCTTCCACTTTCCCATGAAAAAATGTTAGTGACTAAGAGTTGAATGACTCAGTCAAGTATATACAGCCTGTCAGGCACAGTGGCACATACCTAGAATCCCAGAACCAGGAGTTTTAGGCAGGAAGAAAAAACGTTCAATGCCAGCCTGAGCAACTTGGTCCCTTAACATAGTCCCTGAGCAACTTAGACCCTATCTCAAAATGAAAATATAAAAGGAGTAGGGATGTAGCTCAATGGTAGAGCACCCTCCTGCTGAAAAAAAAATACAGCCTGTTTGCCAGTTAATGATTCTACAATATAAATTCCCTTACTGGCCATGCTCCTGCACACATTAATGCAATGATTTTACTATAATCAATTGAAAGGGACTATGTGAAGAAAATTCAGTCTAAAGAACCATTCACTCATAAGCCTACTATCTTAATACAAACATTATTCTAATTTTTGCATATTAACTTGGTGTCATTTCTATTTCTGTATTTATAGACAAAGCCCAAAGTATACACATTGTTTTTCATTTTCCTTATACTCACCAAGTATTAAAACTATGTACAATGTTACAATGGTTTGGGCTTGCTTTAAAACAACCTAGTGGCATAAAGGTGTAATGAAAAGCATTGCGTTAATTAAAAATGATTGAAGCTGTAGGGAAATGCAAATCAAAACCACACTAAAATTTCATCTTATTCCAATCAGAATAACAGAAAATAATAAATGTTGGCAAGATTGGGAGTAAAAAGGTACATTAGTACATTGTTGGTGGGACTGCAGACTATTACAATTCCCCTGGAAAGCAGTATGAAGAATTCTCAAAAAACTAGGGATAGACCCACCATATGACCCAGCTATTCCACTCCTTGGAATCTTCCCAAAAGATCTAAAATCATAATACTACAGTAATATAGCCACCTCAATGTTTACTAAAGCACAATTTATAATAGTTAAATTATAAAATCAACCTGGGTGCGTGTCAATAGATAAATGGATTAAGAAATTATGCAGTTCTACTCAGCCATAAAGAAAAGGGAAAAAAATACGGCATTTGCCAGTAAGTGGATGGATATGGAGAATCTTATGATAAGTGAAATAAGCCAAATTCAGAAATTCAAAGGTTAAATGTGTTCTGTCAAATGCAGAATTAGAGTAAAATAAAGGAAAGGGGCTTGGGAAGGATAAGATAACATAAAGATAAAGGGAAGATTAGTAATGTAGAAGGAGATTGAAAGAGTAAAGGGATGGGTAAGGGGAGGCAAAGCAGAATGACTTTTAAAAACTCATGTTATATGCATATATAAATATATCACAGGGAGCTTCATCTTTATACAATCAAATATAAATAAATAGATGAATGAAAGGAAGTCTAACAGAATAGAGGAAGGAACACAGAAGGACAGGAATGAAGAGGGAGAGGAATAAAAAGGGGATCAGGAACTGAAATTGAACTTCAAGAATGTATTAGTTTGTCAGGATGAACCCAACTACTATGTATAACAATGACGTGCTATACAAATGTAAAAAAAAAAAAAATCATGTTTTATTGTAAAGCATAAGTAAAATTTTAAAATTCAGAAAAGCTAATAAATTTAGGATTGTGATAAAAAATCAATGAAGTACTAATAAAAATTAGAAAAATGTTTGAAAATGGGTAATAGTTCCACCCATTGGGTCAGTATAGTTTTCCTTCTATTTTTGTATGTTTCTGAAGATTTTCATATATATATATGGATATATGAATACATATGTACATATTACAAATAGAGAAGTTTACATGATTTATATTTTAGGGAATATATTAAAAGGAAATTAAAACATACATTATTATTTGAGAAGCAACCTAAAGCAGAGTGTTCATTGAGGTGAGCTGTCCGTTTCACAGTCTCCTAATGTACCTTTGTCACTGGGTTCATTTTCCTGTGTTTACACATAGCTTCAAATTCAGGTCTCAGTTGAAGCTGCTGCTGTTCCTCTTCAAAGTCCACTAAATCCCACTCATATTCCAATCTGGCCTGTCGCTGTTTCCAAAACTCCAAAAACAGTGTGACTATAGGTAAAGAAATATATTTTTTAAAACCCATAATAAAATAAGAAACAAAATTAATAAGAAAATAATTTTCTCCCACTTCTTCATTATTTTGGCTGTAAGGTGGTTCATATTTTTCAGGTGGCTATATTCTGTCATTGTTAGATTATGAAATTACCAATGATTAATGTTGACAAAATACTAAATAATAACATTCAAATAACTCATATACAAAAATTCAAGCTAATTTATTAGTAGTTCAACAAGAAATTTTATTCAAGCATATTATGCTGTTTCTTCATTCATATAATTTTATGTAATATTTGAACTAAACATTTTAATGAACACTAAGATTTCTTTGAATGTGTTTTACTGAAATCATTCAAGTTAACATACATTTTCTCAAGTTTAGGGAAATGTTACCTAAGAAGAATATTTAAGGAAAACATAAGAGCTATTTCCCAGTGTAGTTCAATCTTTCTCCCCCCCCCCCACCCCGCTCTCGTGCGCGTGCACACACACGATTCCACATACTACAGTATATGTGTAACTTCAAATTTCAATGGAATGATAACACATTTATGGAAAAGTACATAAACAATTAATTATGCAATTAGAATAATTTTCACAAAACACTCACACTCATTTATCAGCACAAATATATTTTAAAAAATAGAAAATGAGCAACACCCCAGAAACTCTCATTCTGAATCTTCTGAAACAGAAGTAACTAGTACCTTAGCTTCTAAATCACAGGATAGTTTCACTGTCTTTGAACTTTTAAAAACTGGTGTCATACAACAAAAAATTTTTGTTGAGTATGTCATCTTTTAAACTAAACCACAAATGTATTTATTTATTCTTGGCATGATGAACATTTGAGCTATTTATAGTTGTTCACTATTGAAAATGTTTCTTCTTTGAACATTCTAAGATATACCTTTTGGTGGGCATATATGTACCTTTTATGGGATATATATCTGGGAATAGAATACTGCAACAGAATCAGCTTGTTATTTTATCATTTATGAAATATTTAACTTTTAAAGTTTCTTCTTACTCAATCTCTACCTTTTAAATAATAACTGTGGATTATGTATGAACATTTTTAAAGCCCTAATTATATCTTTTCAAAGTATTACAATTCTCATTTAACTGGTCTCTCTGCCTCCAATATATGTCCTTTTCAATGCAAATATACCTATCGCCTGAATGCCAGTTTTTTGTTTGTTCATTTGCTCATATGTACATTTGCTTATTATGCTCTTTTGCTGATTACAAAATATATTTTATTGTTTCAAGAATGCTTAATATCATATCTACCATCTTAACTAATTTCAAGAGTACAATTCATTATTGTGAACCATAGGTTCAATGTTGTATATATCTCTAGAGCTTATTTATCTTTCTTAACTGAAACATTATGCCCATTTGTTACTGATTACTAACACTCAAATTCCCAGTCTCTCAGTCCCTATCAACCACCACTATATACTCTGATTCTATCAATTTGATTATTATAAATATTTCATAAGAATGGAATCATGCACTGCTTATCTTTCTGTCACTGTCTTATTTCACTGGGAAAAAATGTACCTATGTTTCGTCCATATTGTTAGATATCGTAGATTGCCCTTATTTTTCAAGGCTTAAAAATATTCTATTACATGTATATACAGCTAATTATAATCCATATATCTATCTATGGACATTTTGATTGTTTGCACATCTTATCATTATGGATTATGTTTCAATGAACATAGAAGTGGTAACATTTCTGCAAGATCCTGATTCAGCTATTTTGGGTAAATATCCAGAAGTAGGAATGTTGACATATAGTAGTGCAATTTTTAACTTTTTGAGGAAACTTCATTGTGTTTTTCACATTTACTGCATCATCTTGCAATCCTAACAACAGTATGAAAGGGTTCCATATTCTTTATGTTCTTACCCATGCATGTTTTATATGTGTATGTGTGTATCTATTTATATATATATATATAATCCATCTTGAGAGGTGTGAGTTTATACCTCACTATGGTTTAGAGTGTCACTTTCCTGACAACTGGTGACATTAGGCATTTTTTTCATATATGTGTTGGCCATTTGCATATCTTCTTTGGAGAACTTTTTATTCAAATCCTTAACCCATTTTTAATAAGGTTGCTGATGTCTTTATTTTTCTATGCAGGATTGAGTAAAGGAGTTTATAATACAGTTTGGATATTAAACTCTTATGAGATAAAAGGTTTGCAAATATTCTCCCATTCCACAGGTTTTGCTATCATTGTTTTTCCTTTTATCATAGAAGCTCCTTAATTTGATATAGACTCACTTGTTTATTTCTGAACATATTGCCTAGCATCTGGTGTCATGTCTATGAAAACATCGCTCACACATGTGTCATGAAGCATTTCCCCTACATTTTATTCTAGGAGTTTTACAGGCTCTGATCTTATGTTTAGGTCTTAAACCCATTTTCATTTGATTGTTGCTATGGTAGAAGGGTTCAATTTCATTATTTTACATGTGGATAGCTAGGATTCCCAACACCATTTGTTGATGGGATCTGGCTCACTATCACTTCTCCATTGTGTATTCTTGGAACAAATCCTAAAGACAGGTTGACTGTGTATGAGTAAACTTCATGGAAATCAAATTTTCCATCGATTAACCACTGCAATGTGTACTTCTATCATACCACATGTGACGAATCTATACTATTTTGACTGTCAATTTAAAAGAAAAACAGAGTAATTCATCTAGAAGAATAAGAGACCCAGAATAGCCAAAGCAATCCTGAACAAAAAGAGTGATGCCGGATCACAGTCAGATCTCAAATTACACTACACAGTTACAGTAAAATTATTAGCATGGTATTGGCATCAAAATAGACATGAAGACCAGTGGAATAGAATAAAAGACACTGAGACCAATCCAAATATATTCAGTCATCTGATGTTCAACAAACATGCTAAAAATATATGTGGAAGAAAAGATAGACTTTTTTAAAAAAAATGGAGCTGGGAAAACTGGATATACATGTGTAAAATGAAACCTGACCCTTATTTTTCACAATTCATAAAAGTCAATTCAAAGTAGATCAAAGACGTGGGAATTTCACCAGAAAATTTGCAAGTATAGAAGGAAACAGGACCAACACTCCAAAGGCATTAACTTTTTTTTTTTTTTAACATGACTCCTAAAGCACAAGGGCGGGGGAAAGGAATCAAATTTAAAAAAGTTTCTGAGCAGCTGGGGATATAACTCAGTTGGTAGAGTGCTTACCTTGCGTGCACAAGGCCCTAGGTTCAATACCCAGCACCATAAAAAAAAAAAAAAGTTTCTGCACAACAAAGGGAATGATTAAGAGCATGAAGAGTAGGCCTACAGATTGGAAGAAAATCTTTGACAGCTGCTCTTCCAACTGGGGTAATATTCAGACTATATAAAGAACCCCTCAAAACCACCAAAACAAAACAACAATGATGATACCAAAAACATAACTTAATTAACAAATGAGCAAAAGAATTAAACAGACACTTCTCAAAAGAATAAATATAAATGCAACAAATTTATGAAAACTGTTCAACACCATGGAAATCAGGTAAATGTAAATCAGAACTGAGATTCCATTTCACTCCAGTCAGAATGGCAATTATCAAGAACACAAACAATAATAAATGCTGGTGAGGGTGTGGGGAAAAATGTAGACTCATACATTAAATGGAAGACCAGTAGAATAAAGGAAGGGGGACAGGGGAAGAAAGAGGGAAGGAAAGGGGAAGTACTAGAGACTGAAATGGAGCAAATTATATTCCAAGCTTGAATGGTTATGTCAAAATTAACACCACTATTATGTATAACTATAATGCACTATTAAAAACATTTAAAAGGTAATTCAGTCCTTGTCTGATTCTCCGCACTTGAAATGGACTTCTATGAAAATAGTCTTTAGATTGTGTCCCAATCTTTAAACTGTTGTTTTCTTCCATAACAGGTTATATTTTACACAAACTTTCACTCACTCATTTTATCATTTAGTGCTGATTTTCAATTTTATGAGACAGGTATTTTAACTCTATTCATTTTTTTCTCTTGCATATACTAGACACATGTAGGGATAAAAATGTTTCAAAAGTCTGATACAAGTAAGTAGTTTTTTTTTTTTTCCTTGTGGTGCTGGGGATTGAACCCAAGGCCTTGTGTATGAAAGACAAGCACTCTACCAAGTGAGCTCTATCCCCATCCCATTAAGCAGGGTTTTACCATTTGTTTCTTTATTTAAATTACAAGGAAAAAACTACTATAAATTTCTGAAGTAGTATTTGGTTACCATAGCTCTGTAAAACAATAGGTGATCTAAAAGTGTTAATGACCTAAATGTGTAATAATGGAGAACTGATCAGGTAAAATGTGATAAATTGACAAAAGGCAATTCTACTTAGTCATAAATACACATGTCCATATGTACACATGTACCTGCACCCTGTCACGCACATTCATTGATACAAAAGGAGTCCCATGATTCATTGTTTGCTGAGTGAAAAAAGCATGCTGAAAACAATTTATATAATATTATGTTGGTTATGTGAAATTACATAAATATAAGTCCCACATACTCAGAGTGAAAGATTCTGGAAAATTATGGACAAAATAATTATCACATTTTGAGTGATTCTAACATTTCCTATTGCTATACTCTGCTTGAATTTCACATGAAGGTTGTGTGTTTTCATTATTAACAAACAAAAAACATTGAAGGAAAACACTCCCTACCCCCAACCAAAAAGCCTTCTTTATATTGAGTGTCAACTAACTTTGGAAATGTTGCACCTAGTGCTTCATTTTTTCAATTTTATATTGGAAGTTGATGTGATATAGAGTTGTTCCTATCATCAGAATGAAAATTTATTTCTATAAGAATAACTCATGAAAAGGTCACTAAAATGTATATCAAAACATGGGGATTCTGGGGGAAAATAGACTTCTTTTCTTTCCAATTAGTAGCAAAATCTAAC